GATGGATGGATGGATGATAGATGGATAGACAGATGGATGGATGGATGGACAGATGGATAGATGATAGATGGATGGATGGATGGATGGATGGACGGATGGATAGATGATAGATGGATGGATGGATGGATGGACGGATGGATAGATGATAGATGGATGGATGGATGGATGGATGGACAGATGGATAGATGATAGATGGATGGCTAGAGGTGCAACTGGTAGAGCTGCTGCCTCTCAGCGAGCAGTTCCCTGGTTCAAACCCCGGTCCAGGGGCCTTCTGGGTGGAGTTTGCATGTTCTCTCCGTGCATGCGTGGGTTTTCTCCGGGTGCTCCGGTTTCCTCCCACAGACCAAAAACATGCATGTTAGGCTGATTGGTAACTCTAAAGTGTCCCTAGGTGTGAGTGAGAGAGTGAATGGTTGTTTGTGTCGTTTGTCTCTATGTGTCCATGTGATGGACTGGAGACCTGTCCAGGGTGTCCCCCGCCCCTCGCACAGTGACTGCTGGACATGGGCACCAGCGACCCCCGTGACCCAAAATGGAACAAACGGGTAAAGATAATGGATGGATGGATGGATGGCTAGACGGATGGATGGATGGATGATAGATGTATAGACAGATGGATGGATGGATGGACAGATGGATAGATGATAGATGGATGGACAGATGGATAGATGATAGATGGATGGATGGATGGATGGATGGATGGATGATAGATGTATAGACAGATGGATGGATGGATGGACAGATGGATAGATGATAGATGGATGGATGGATAGACAGATAGATAGATAGACACCGACAGACATCTTTACTGTGGCGGCCATCTTGCCCTGAGTTGACTAAATGTAAATGTCTGAACTGTTTGTTCAAATCAGTTGTTTTATATTTTAGGGCGAGTCCACAGAGTCTGAGGCATCGTCTCTTGTGTTCACCTTCAACGAGGGTCAACAATAAATCATATTTTACCTTGTAAAACATGTTAAAGGCAACAAAACTCATTATTACTGAAATCATTCTCAACACCTGCGTTGAAAGAACACGCATGTTTGTTTTTACACGTTTCAAAAGACCCCGATCTTCCGCCCACAGTAATATTTAATTAGGGGTTTTCAGTCACTTCCTGCAGACTGACGGTGTCTGAAGCAGGAAGGTCACGCTGCTCTCTGCAGCTGTCTTTATTCATCACACTCCTGAGGAAAGTTTTAAACTAATCCCTTTATGACGGCTTTATGTTTTTCATAAAGAACTAAGTTGTTTTTCTGATAACTTGTCAGAAACAGCAGAGCTCGACGTTTTTGTACAAGAGGTGGGCTTCTGCTGGAATGAAGTTCCTTTGTAGGTGGGTGTGCTGCTCGTCTTAAATGTCACCGTGTCAGAATTAGTCAAAGTGAACGATGAGTCTTTCACACACGATAACTAAAAACATACAGTAGCCCCGGCTGTTCTTTTAATTCTTCTTAATGCATCACAAAATATAAACGTAACTCACAATGAGGCGTAATTTAAACATGAATTCAAACCCAACGATCGATTAACGATAACGATGAAAGTGGCTCAAACTATGAAACCAAGAAGATAAAAAGTCTTCAGGTCTGAGCCGGTCTCACGATGAGCTGTCATTGAACTCTTCAGAATCCTCTCAAAGTTACGGTCCAATAGAACCCAGCGCTGACCGCCCCGACCCTCAGGGCCTCCATGAAGAACCACAGCCTGAACTGAGGCGTTCTGATCAAACCGTGACACACGGCGTGATCCAGACCGCAGCTAATGTAGGCCGAGAGTCGAGGCGGATACTTATTCCACGCAGTTCGGCTCTTTGTGTTGGCGTTAGACGTCGAGTTAGCTTGTAACAGTTTTAAGATTTACCGTAACAAAAACTGCCACACGAGCAGTTCTTCATCCTTCGGTGGGTGCTTCGTGTTTAACTACAGCCAGATGTTGGAAAGTATCACAGCCTTGTAAGATGAAGGTGCAAATCTTTACGAGCTCATCAATTCAAGAAGAATAAAGCCTAAAAATAGGTCTGATTACATTCAGACTCTTAAAAATAAGGTAGTGAAAGGCTAGCTAAAAGCTAATGTAGTTAAAGGCTAACTAAAAGGTTAAAAATTAGATAAAGGCTAACTAACAAAACTTGCAAAAAGTAATGGCTAGCTAAAAGGTAAAAAGTAGCTAAAGGCTAACTAGCAAAACTCTAGCAAGAAATAATGGCTAGCTCAAAGGTGAAAATTTGCTAAAGGCTAACTAGCAAAACTCTCGCAAGAAGTAGGTAATGGTTAGTTAAAAGGTAAAAAGTAGCTAAAGGCCAACTGCTAAACTTTTGCAAGAAGTAATGGCTAGCTAAAAGGTAAAAAGTAGCTAAAGATTGACTAGCAAAACTTGCAAGAAGTAGGTAATGGCTAGCTAAAAAGTAAAATGTAGCTAAAGGCTAACTAGGAAAACTAGCAAGAAGTAATGGCTAGCTCAAAGGTGAAAAGTAGCTAAAGGCTAACTATAATGGCTAACTAAAAGGTAAAAGTAGCTAAAGGCTGACTGTGAAACTCTTGCAAGAAGTAATGGCTAGCTAAAAAGTAAAATGTAGCTAAAGATAGCAAAACTCTTGCAAGAAATAGGTAATGAGTAGCTAAAGGCTAACTAGCAAATATTGCAATAAGTAGGTAATGGTTAGCTCAAAGATAAAAAGTAGATAAAGGGTAACTAGCAAAACTCTTGCAATAAGTAGGTAATGGCTAGCTAAAAGGTAAATAGTAGCTAAAGGCTAACTAACAAAACTCTAGCAAGAAGTATGTAATGGCTAGCTAGAAGCTAAAACAAGCACAACAATAGCTAAAAATCAACAAAACTATAGATAAAAGCTAAAAGCAGTAAAAGTTTATCTAAAAGCTGAAAGCATCA